CCTTAAATCTGGGGTTAGCCTATACGAAAAAAGATATAGAAACTAAAAAGTGTTTTACTCATCTCTCATGTTTCCACATGCTGAAATGGATAAAAAATTAACATGTTTTTCTTTTTATTATAATTATTAATAATATGCATCTTAATTCTACATTTTAAAGTTGCCATCTTGTATATTTTTTTTTTTTTTTTCATGTTAAAACCCAACTCAAAAGGTTATTGAGTAAATAAGGTTTGGCCATTTCAAAATCGATTTGGCCATTTCAAAATCAATTTGGCCATATTTTTTTTAAATATGCGAGTTGGCCATTTGAAGCAACACTTAACACTGTAACTCGCATCCTGCATTTGATAACCAAATTACTGAGTAAATGAGGTGCTCTCTCTTACTACCTTGACTCACAACCCTTCGAAAAACTGGAAACATCATGCTACAAAAAAGTACGCTTTCAAACCCAATTCTAAACCGTATTAAAGGGTTTTTCAACATCAACATTAAAACAATATAGAAGCATATATTGTTGCATCATCCAATGTTAGTTGGACTTTGTAACTTCATCAATTAAATTTATGTGAAATTATAAATTGTCTTGCATATCTCCATAATATTCAAATATTAAATTATATAAAAGTTTATTCAAATTTTTTTTATAAGATAAATGTATGTAATATGATAGTGTATATTTAATCTAAGCTTTTCTATTTTTTTTAAAAAAAATTTAAGGGGTTTTAACCCCATTTTTTTTAAAAAAAATCTACTTGACCAGTTAATCCGATTAATAGCTCCAGTTAGTCCGGTTTCGGTTCGAACCGCTCCCAGCCTCATGATCGATTAATCATTCTGGTTCGATTTTACGAACACTGATGAAAAGTGAAATGCACTTAACTTCCATTTTTTTTGTCAAACACCAAACATGAACAATATTAGGTAAGTTCCAAGTTTTTGAAAGACATTTCCAGTTATCAAACATGCCTTTAAGGTTATAAATGAGGAATCGATACATTTCAGTGGCTCAGCAACCTTGGGTCGGGTAATTTTAAGCTATTTTCTAGGTTCCTTTTTTTTTTTTGTGCATGTATTGGTAGCTTATAAGAGAAAATGTTTTTTGTGCATGTTTGGTGTAGTATTGGATTTATGAGCACTTTATGGTTCTACCCCTCAAGTCGATACAAATAGATTCGAAAATGCCTAGAGCTTGCGCCTAGGTTAAACAACCAAGCCAGAAACACCCAGACAAAGTGTTGAAGACCTCACCCTTGTACAGGTTAGTGGTGTCCCTTTATTTTTGTAGTTTACTAAGGAATCATGTATTTATATAAGTTCTTAATGTTGTGTATTTGTTTTCTTAAGGTGAATTGGGAACCATATGAGGAGCCCCGAGGAGAGGACAATAGAAAATTAGACTAAATCAGTAAGGAAGTTGCATTGTGGCTGTCGTTCCTAATAAGTTTTAATGTAGCAGAATATTACATGCTCGATCACATGCTTCGGTAACTTGGGAAAGTCCAAGGGATTCCTACTAAGCCTTTGAAGTAGGATAAGAGGGAGAAAGTTGGTGTGCACCCCACAAATTGTGATGATGAATTGAGCATGAAGATTAGAGAATGGCACAAACGTCAACACGATATTGTTGAAGTTGTCGGTAACCCGATCTGCTCCTAGTCGTGAGTAAATTATTTAGCTGTGTACTTCATTACATGTTTAAGTTTTGTTATATATTCAATCAAATTTATCCAATCTCTATATATCTTCCTTTAATTCTCCATCTAAGAAAGCTATTTTGACATCTATCTAAAATAATTCTAGATCATAATATGCAACTAATACTAGGATGATTCTAATACATGAAAAATTTGCTATAGGAGAATAAGTCTCTACATAATCTATACCCTCCCTTTGGGTAAATCCTTTAGCTATCAACCTCAGGATTATATTCTTTAAAAATTTCTAATGCATCTGATTTTTTACTAATTAGGTATACATATTTATAACGTGAATAATCATCCATAAATGTTATGAAATGTTCTATACCTCTATATGTTTTTACATTTAATGAGCCACATATATCAAAGTGAACAATACTAAGTAGTTCGTTAAACCTTTTCCCTTTAGGGAATGGCTTCTTAGTTAATTTACCATAAATACATGGCTTGTATGTTTTGAACACAATTTTTCCTAAATTGAGGAGCAAGCATCTTTTAACCATTTGATTCATTTTGTCTTTATTTATATGTTCTAATCTTAACTGCTATAAATATGGATCATCCATACATACATAAACATCAAAAGAGACATCAAAATAACCAGAAAAGGATTAAATTTTATTAATATTCAGTTGGTAGAAATTGTCAACTTTAATACCATACACCAATGCTCTAGAATGCTTCCCAATGGTGACACGACCAGACCTGAATCTTATTTCATAACCCTTGTCGTCTAGCCTAAGAACAAAAATCAAATTGCACCTCATATTGGGTGCATACAAAGTATCAGTCAATAGGAGATTTGTTCCTCCTGATAAACACAACTTGAAAGTACCGACACCAAGTACATCACAATAGATGTCATTTCCCATATAAATCCGCTAGTTACCGGCTGCAATCTCCTTCAATTCAGTGAATCTGTCCTTGGTCCTCGAGACATATCTAGTAGAGGCTGAGTCGACCCACCAATTTCTCAGGTCATAGTCGGTAACTATTGATTCTAGGACTACGCAGATCAAGTTATTTCTTTTATTTTGATTATTTCGAACATGGTTATTTGGTTCAGGTATGAGGAAGCAAAGGCGAGAGGAGAAGTTGTGAAATCAATGCAGAGGACTTTAGTGACATGGTGATAAAGGTTTGTTTTGAGTGCATTCTAGAGTGTGCTAGAATTTTTGCTCATGTCACTCTTTAGTTTTTAACTCTTTTTTTTATGTTTATTTTTTTAACTCTATGCAGCTACACATCAAATTTGCTCTCCCCCTTCCCCTTCCCCATTGGATATATTTTGTTTAGCGAATATGTTGTGAATTCTGAAATTCAAAAGAAATGACACATTGAAAGTTCTTATTGACATGTATAATGTGAAGTTCTTTGGGGCCATCTAGTAAAATAATGAATGGACAGGGCAGCTAGCAGTACCATTGAGGTAGGAGTAAGTGATGTTTAAAGGGAATTTGATTAGTGAATCCATGGTTGTCAAAGAATCTTAATTGTACATGAACTTGGTGGAAAGTTAGCAGTGGTTTTCTTTTTAGAGAAGCCATGACCTATAAAGCATGAATTTCTCAAGGTTCGCCATGTGATGCTCTTGTTTTCTATCTTTTGTTTCTTCTTTAGTTGTCCCCTTACGAATCACATGCAGCATCTCAAGGAGCATTATTATCAGCATAAGAAATGTCCATTGTCGGCGTATCTGAGTGCATACCATTTTTAGCAAGTCGGGAAACAATAAATTATCGGTAGACCAAAATAGTGGTAACAAATTAGTTTTATTTCAAAAAGTTAGAGAAAAATTCGGTTAAAAAATATGGATCGCCAAAAAATGAGGTAAGTTGTAGAATCGTGAATATTTTGGATTTCGTTAAAAAAACGTAGTGAAAAAGTGGATCGGTAAAATGACACAATATAGGATTATGATTTGCAACTATTGTAAAAATATATTAAAATCAGAAAACAATTATTTTATAGCCTTACTAGTGTCATTAGAGTAATACTTGACCATATTTCTTTGAAACGTTTAAGAAATCCAGCAATAATGTTTACTCTATTGTCACAACACAAAACATATCTTAGATTTATTGGAGTATAAAATGAA